CTTCACCATCCTTCTCTCCTCTTTCTATCAGCTTTCATGTATCCGTTGAGAGCCATTCCTTGTCTTGTCTCTTCCTTCTTCCTAGAACAGTTGTACGAATATCCTTGAACATCCTCTTCAGAGAGTTGCAATGTTCTTCCACACAGGTTTCCTCAGTGATGCCACATAGTGTCTCAGACTTTGCCTTGATATCTGTATTGAAGGCATCCCTTGTGGTTTCTTCCTTCAGTTTCTGAATGTTGAACTTGAATCGTGGTCTGTTTCTATTTGCTTTCATGGAGGCGTGTATAGAAAAGCACATTCACAAGCCGATACACACACCTTAGTTACAAGAGATTTTGTTTAATGTCTTACGAGCAGAGCAGGAAAGATATATACGGATCGCCACTTACAAAAGTAATTTGAATATATTGATGACTCCTTGACGGAGATGGGCTTTTCGAGTAGTTTCATAAAGAAAGGTATGAAAACACCGGAGAGAAGCCTGGAGAGCATGACTGCACGTAAAACACCTCTGTTTATTAAGTTACAATTTATTGGTGACTTACCAAGTGCGATTTTATTCCAGAGACTTTCCAGGAGTATACGAATAACGGTTTATTCAGCAAACCTATGTTTGTCATTCTCTAGCCGACGGATTATTGATCGCAAACGAAGAATAAGCTAGATAGTTTTGCCACGGCTGCACAGTTGTGTTGGACGTACTACTAGATAACCTTGCAAACGTGTCACTGAATACCTTCCATTGTGATTTGGCAGAGGAGAGACAAAAGCAATCCGTAGGGCCATTTGGTCACTTTTAGTTGATAGTGGTCATGTAGTGGTGAAAGCGAAAGGATGTAAGATGATTCATAGCATCCTACCGAATTTTTCCAATAGACTTCCTATTCGTCTACTGCACATAGCTGAGGTGAAAGGCGTTCGAACTATTAAGCCTCAACTATGCATTATCGGTTTTTTGGCCTATTAAGATATAACGAACTGATGACTTCGGCACCACCCCTTATTGTATTCCTAACCCCTCTCTTATCATCCTTAATCTTATCACATCTTCATGAAAACATAATTTATCTACTTCCCTTACAATCTAGCATTACTTAATGGGTTTATTTGTTTTTCTTAGCCTTTATCTACTACTTCTACCTGAACATTTGGTTGTGTAATCATGCTATTTTTCGTTATGCTTGTTATCACAAACCACCTCACGTTCTCATGCTTGTTATTGATAGAACCATTATTATTACTATTATTATCATCATGTACCTCGACAAAGTTTTTAAAGACAAGAAATGTCCTTTTTATACATAAACGATGTTACTTTAATTACAATTAATTTCCCTGAATAAGTTCGGACCAGTTTGCTGCACGAAACTCTGGAATTACTCATTTCACTTCCGCTGAAGTTTTACTAATATAATTTTTATTAATGTCTACTTCTCAATCGACACCCAATTATTTTGGAACTATTCTGTCATATCTTTATCATAGTTCATATGTTATCAGTTTGCTTCTTGTAAGAAATGAAATCATTGCATGCATTTTACTTTAATGTTAAAATCATACTCTTTTATTAATTCTTATATCAAAAGCGTTACATTGACTCGAAACATCTAATTATTAAAACAATTAGTCTCTTTGATAAATTTGAACAAGACATTTTTAAGACAAGTTGATATAATTTCGTATTTTCTCTGCAAACGATTCACAACTAGCATGGTTCACAATAATAAAATAAAAATGAAGTCATGACAATTACTCAGTTATGTAAAACGAAGGCACATACTAATGACCAATCATATTTAAATAGGCCAAGTAGTCTATGGTAGGCGAAGGTTGAAATCTGTTGTTTTTTGTATACATGGTTTAGGATGTATGTGATTAATTTAAAGTTCTTCCACCTTGAATTGTGAAGCAGCAATTAATATTTATTTTCTGACCTGACATTAATAAGTACTTTGCCAGGGATGATGGATTTCTATTCAGATTAATTGCGTTGGGATTTTCTATGTGTCTTGATAACCATTTTGGAACATGTTCTTTTCAACGACATTGGAATATTCCCTGGGTTCTACCTTTATAAGTGTTACCGTAACTGCAGGTGAACTTGTAGATACAGAGTGATGTAGAGTCTACAGAATTCAATCCCTTAATCATAGGCAAAGGTATCGGAAATGTTCGAGATGTGAGGGAAAGAGCTGTGTTGTAGAATTTGCGTTTGATGGCTTACCGAAGGCTTTGAGCTGTCAGCTGCATAATTTGACCATCCTCGAATGGTAGGTTAATAAAGATGGCTTTCTTTTGTACAGAAGCTATCTTTTCAAGATGTGGTCTATCCTTACTGTGACAATTGATAAAGTTTTCTGGATAACCATTAATTAATGAAACTGTATGTATGAGTTGAAGCTCGTCCATCAATGTGTTACTCGTGCATATTTTGCGGGCTCTTGAAAACAAATGTTTCACTAGGGAACGTTTACACTGCATAGGAACAAAACTGGTGAAATGAAGCTATTGTTTACTCCATGTCTGCTTATGAAATATAGATTGTTTAGTCGTCTTTCGTAGTCATTGAAATATCCAAGAAATGGAGTCTCTTATTCGATTCGAATTCGGAAGTCACTCGGATGTTTGGATGAATATGATTAAATAGCATAAAAAAGTTTCGGTAAACTTACTATTATTACCGATAACGGGTGTATAGCACAACATTTATATAGCATAAATTTTCCTAACATACCTTGCATCTGTTTCTCCAATTTAGATATGAATAAATCTGCTAAAAGGAGCCCAAGAGGGCTCCCCATCGCAACACCATCCATTTGTTTGTATGCCTTTTCTTGGATTGTGAATCTGATATTTTCTGTACATGTTTAGATAATGTCTCTAATGTAAGTGACTTGAATAGATAATTGTATCCGACTGCTTGTGATGTAATCGAAAATGAAATCAACAGTTCCATGAAGTGGAACATTGGTGAATAAAGATTCTGTATCGGTTGAACACACAACCTTTTCGTTAATGTACATGGTGTCTAGGATATTGGTCAGATGGAATGAAATTTTTACAGAATGATTTGATAATGAGTCTCTTACAGGCATAAGGACCTCAGTAATCAATTTTGAGACTTTATGATATGGAGAATTTGCCATATCTAAGATGGGTTTCTGCGGGTTCCCAGGTTTGTGAACCTTTAGGAGACATTTAATTATAAAGAATGAAGTTTGCAGCCTGCTTAAATCACTTGGCTATCTGAACCACCATTCAACAGAATGCTTCTTATTTTCTCCAACTCTTATTGTTTGAGTCATTCACTGTTTTCGAATTTAAAAAAATGTACTTATGCATATTTTCTGTTAGCTTTTAAACTACGGGTGCTCATTTATCGGAGGTGAAGGGAAATGTCGTAAAGCATTAGTCTATGTTTCAAATCTAACAGCGTTGTGTCACATGATATACCATGGATTTTTATTTACTTGGAGATTCCGCACAAAGAGAAAATATTATGCAGAAAATTGCAGTGAGAATTCATCATATTGTTTAGACATTTTCTCTAGAACAAAGCTGTTATTGTTATCATTTAATAATAATGTTAAGCATATTATTGAAATTACTTATTTGGATTTAGAGTTATTCTCAGTTGCTACTTAAAATGCACTTATTCAAAGAAAGCACATTTCATTTATTTTCAGTCCTCTTTCACTGATTTTAATGTCTTTCCTTTACTATTTTTTATTTTTATTTTGAAAAAAAGTTTAAGTGAATGGATTTACTGTCTTGTGCATACCTCTAAATGCATTTTAACAAAACTTTGTCCTCATTACTATGCAGTGAATGTGTGTAATTTAAGTAAAACTGATTCGATTCTCCTAACTAAACTTAATCTACGCTGAATTCTATCACGAACCAATATCAGTCAGAGACCCCTAAAGTAGGTGTACAAATATCGGAAAGGCGATAACTCGGAAAATCTCTTAAAGTAGTGATCCACTTTGTCCTAATATGTAGTCATTAGTGATAGGTACTGGGGAGAAAGTGCAGATAGAGACGAGAGGTTTTTTAATACAGGCGTTTCCTGGAATACTGAACAACAGTATGAGTGGTGTTTCCATTATGAATAGAATGATATGTAGGAAGGTAAGTCAAACAATACGTTTTTGAACACTTACCGATTAAGATCTAAGCAATATGCGAAGTCTACGTTGCCTTACTGAATAGTTAGGAAAACAAATCAGCATAAAACCCAGTGAAGTTTTAGACTACGATACTTCGTTATAGCAGCACAGAAAGAGGGAGTGAATAGAATTGCAATAATAAGAAGAACACATCCATAAGAGAGGACAGAATAATTATCTGAAGAACAGTGAAGAAATCTATCATCTTTGAAGAGGGTACTGATAATGAGAATGTACTTGAGAATTTCATTGCTTGTGAGGTGCTAAAAGCTTGGGACTTTATTATTTATTCAGCTTACTTTTCGTCAGTCTTGTTGCAAGTTTCATCGATTAATACGGAGTTAGTTTTAGACAGATTTCGTGATTTGGTACACTTCCATTAGCACTTTTAGGACCAGCCTCAGTGTCTGCAATAACTATGCTTACTCCCAATCATTAGCAAGTGATTAGAGTTTGAGAGTACAGGTTAATCATCAGGCTACTTCATTTCAGACAAAATTCGCTGTGCCGCCAGGTTTTTGGACTATTTTTAAGTCACGTGTGAATATCCTTGAATGATTGGGCATACTTGTAGCCAATCAATCGCAACTATCCTAGACCAATCAGATTTTGTCCACTCAATCAGCCAATCACCTAAGTGAATGTGGGAGGAAGATTGGCCAATATCTTGAATAGTTTAAGGTCATGGTCAAATTACGTTAAGTGTCATAGTTGTTTGGGTTGGACTTAAAGAAAAAACGTTTAAGCATCATTTTTCCTCCAGCCTAAGAGAATCAAATGCAGTGCTTTCATTCATTTCCATTCCTTATTGAATGTGAGTAACAAAGGATGTCAGGGGAAGGAGTTTCTCATACGTACACTTCTCCATGTGCTGCACTAAACCCACCAGGGGTAAAAGATATGTCATCTAACAAAGAAGTCAAAATTAATGTGGACGAGATACTCGTCAAATATGTTGGAGAATGTGGAATTTGGCAGTGGGGTGTTGTTTTGTTATCAGTCTTAAGTTCCCCATCAATGGCAACATTCCCCGTATTTGTAAACGCAGTTCCAGACCATCGTTGCAAAATGGAAAATCCTGTGGAAAGACTATTCAAAGACTACAACTTAAGTTTTAGTGAAGCTGCGGCAGTCATTGGCCCATGGAAGGATGAAGTTCCTATTACGCAAATGGGCTGTTCTCGGTTTGCTCTCGACTGGAATAATACAAATCTTGTCGAGAAACTACTTTTAAATAAATCCGCCATTTCAGTCAATGACCGTAAATCCTTACCGACTGAGGAATGCGTTCATGGATACGTTTATGCGAGCAAAAGGTTCCAGTATCCCAGTACTGTAGTAGAAGAATTTAACCTAATATGCGAAAATAACATACTTTCACCACTTGGAACCTCACTTTTCTTAGTTGGTATGTTATTTGGATTTATTCTTGGAGGGTATGTTGGTGATAAATTTGGAAGGCGACGAGGAGCGATTGGTTTTTCGCTTTTAGAAATTCTTTCGGCAGTAGGTGTTTCTTTAGCTCCAAACCATCATATATATCATCTGATGAGAACAATAGTTGGATTTTCTAGTACAGGTAAAGCCATTGTTCTACGAGTTTTACCTATCGAACTGACTGTCGCCAAGTACCGATCTTACTTTACATCATTTATTATTCTGGGAGTTGTATTTGCTCATCGTGCTGTAATGTCTGGTTTAGCTTATTCAGTACAAGATTGGCGTCTTCTAAATACGTTTTGTATGCTGCCATGTCTTACTTGCTTCACTTTTTTTTACCTTCTGCCTGAATCACCAAGATGGCTTCTATCCCAGTGTCGTGATCAAGATGCTGTGAAAGTACTAAGAACTGGCTGCCGAATCAATCATATATTTACAAAAGACAAGTCAAAATTATCTTACTTTGACACGTTATTACAAAGTACACCCAAGTCAGATAATTATAATAAAAAGAAGTGTGTTCTCCGCGAACCTGTAAATTTCTCTAAACGATGTATCAATATATTGAAATCAATGAGAAACAGCTTTAATAATACTCAGTTGGTTAAAACACTTGTTATATGTGTTCTACTATTTATAACACATTCTCTTGCCTTTTTTGGTGTTCTGTTATATGGTAAGTATATTAATGACAATATTTATATTGTTACTCTTATTAATGCATCAACAGCTATCCCTGGACCAATTATTGCAAGTATAGCTTACAGATGTTTCAAATATCGACGTATTCCTTTAATGAGTACTTATATGATTTCAGGTTTATCATTATTTATCGGTGGAATTTATACCGTGTTGTGGAAACCACTAACTGATACTGTATTGAATATTTGCTGTAATTTTGCGCTTGTTACGTATTCTGCATCAATGATTATGATGTTAATTTATTGTGCTGAGTTATTTCCATCTTATATGCGAACACGTGGTGTAGGCATATCGTCTGGTTTAGGCAGAATTGGTGGAATTATTTCTACATTTGTAAACTACACAGATTTTTATCTTGGACATGGTACACCTGTATTAATTTATTCCGGTTCAGCAATATTTCAAGTTATTTTATTATGTTGTTTACGTGATACAAGTGGTGAAGATCTACCTGATGTTGAACTTAGCATGGATTCGAAAACAGATGATAATGTTCTGAGTACAATTAAAACCTTTAATAATGAAAATGAAAGAAAAGAAGAACAAAACAGGGAAGAATGTATCATAGATTGTAAAACATAGAAGAAGAGAAAGTGTTCATTGTTTATGCTTATTATTGATATTATTATGGTCATAATTTTTTGTTTTTGATTCTAAATGATAGTTTCGATGTAAAAATAAAATACTAAATAATAATTTTTTTCTTAAATGACATTTTTATTGAAGAATTTATGACATAATATCTGTTATTTGTTTCACATCCAGTTATGCTTTCACATGATTTAAGTCTATGAATTATTTTTTAAAAAAACAACTTATTCTGAGGAGTCGGTCTTTTCGGCATACATGGGTAACCATTTAAATTGACTGATTAATTGGATAAGTACGGTTTATTCTAATTTCTCTCGTTCAGACTACTATGATTCGATGGTACAATGAAGTGATGAGGCCAACTAATTAATGTCTTATCAAACACAAGTGTAACAGTTATAACAGCATAATTTTCCATATATTGTGAAAATATCTAAAGTGAATATGTGTATATTTTACTGTTCTCATGCTATAGCTTATTGGTTTAAGCGTTCATGATTCACGGATTCGATAAACCCTCTTCCACTTTCCAAGGTTTGCAGCCCTCACAAAATATACAGGTCTTATGGCTAAATCTATGTAAATACATGTGGGTGTTGAGTAACAAACTAATAAATCGTATTACTTCACATTTATAACGTCCCGAGACCTATCCCTGATATCAGTGGGTCTACAATTAAAGAGATGGATGACTCCGGATAATAAACATCACAACTGACTGTCTCTGAGACAGCTAACAGTATTGCTTATTGGAGCTTTTTATACATACAGAAATTAAATCTATTAAATACATAGGTCTATTGAATACCCTCTGATTAGTTTCCATTAAATTAATAATCCCCAGTGAGACGTAAAATAAAGCATTTACAAGATCTCAGGATATATATAATAACTTAGTCATCGTTCTTCAGCATGGGGTAATTTTTACGTTATCAAGTTGGCCAAATGTTTACGATAACAAAACCACTTATAGGTTCTTAGATTTGATAAGCGTATAAAATTATGAAAGCAGCATGTGTTTACATAATGGAATTGCTTATCACATTTGTGTTTATTTTGCCATTTCACGGGGGAGGAGGATGTTGTGGCCAGGTCAAATTCTGTTTTAGTCTATCATTCCTAGTGAGACAATTTGGATTCCATTTTATATGAACTGCTTCTGATATTAGGTGTCCTTTGTGATATCTGAAATTTTTCCTGATTATTTCAATATTGTAAAAATCAATTTTGTGATCTGATTCTACAGCGTGTAAGCCTACAACTGATAATTTTTCAAGCTTTTCTAGTTCATCTGGATTTCTCCTTGCTCGAACAGATGCTCTATGGTGTTCATTTATCCTGATCTTGGTTTCTCGCGATGTTTGTCCCATGTATGTCGCATCACATTCCATGCACTTTATTTTGTCACCACAATTAGATTGAGAATCCTTAGGGATTTATTCTTTTACATGGACAAGGTTGCTTAGTAGTGTGTTAGTCTGGTGTTTTAAAGAAAACTCTGATATGCTTACTGAGTACTATTCTGATGATATCGCCTAACGTTTCTAATCTATATATGGAATGACAACTGCTGAGGCCCATGTCTTCGGAATACTTTTCCGATGATATTTAATGTCGGTGTTGATTTTATTCATGAAGATTTTTGGGTAATTATTTTTCTCGAGAATCTTAGTATTGTTTGATATTTCTTCCTTCTCCTTCTCATCCGGTATCTAAGAGTGTCCTAGTCTACGACGACTTGAAACAATTGATTCCTTTGCGCAGATAAAGTATAATAACCCGAAATTTAAATTTTTGATGGAGTGGGTTTTCTTCCTGAGTATAAATATATTAAAATATTCGTTTTCCCTCCTCTTAACTAGGCAGTCTAGAAATGGTAGTTCACCGAAGTCTGATTCTACTTCCGAAGTAAACTGGATATTGGAAGATAGACTGTTCAGTTTCTCCAAGAATGGATTCTTTAGACCTCATTTTAGCAGTACAAAAGTATCATCAACGTATTTCAGCCATATTTTGGGCGTGAATAAGCTTAGAAAGATGTTATCTTCAAATCTGTCCATGAAAAGATCAGAGACTATTGGGGAAACTGGTGAAACCATAGCAACACCATTTGTCTGTCAATATAAACTCCCTTTAAATGTAAAATAATTACTTTCCAGCCGGAACTTTTAGCTCTGAATTGTTTCACTGGTGTCCAGTGGACATCTTTGTGACAATGCTGTATCTGATTCTAGTGAACTGGAAATAATATCAAGGCTTTCTGTAGTAGGGATACTAATATATAATGAGTTAATATCATACCTTACCATAATGTCTTCTTTATCAATTTCTCGGTGTTCTATTTGGCATTTGAAATCATATGAATCTTTTATAATATTTTGAGTGTCCTTTTGCAGTGGTTGTAGTGTCGAAAATAAGTATATGGAGAGGTTGTATGTCGGTGAGTTGATAAAATCTACTACTGGTCCTAATGGGACTGTGGGTTTATGTTTCTTTGGTTGACAGTAGAATCTCGAGGGTATATAAGATTTTGGTTTTAGTTTAAACCAAAGAGAACTTCCAGTTTTAGTTCTTGAAGGACTCTACTGGTATTGAGTTTCATTTTGTTGATTTCGGCAGATTTCTTCTTTTCTTCAGCAAGTATGGTCCGTTTGATAGGTGTTCAATCGCCTTCTTTTCATAATCAGTCCTGTCCATTGTAACAGTGACGTTTTCCTTGTTGGCTTTAGTTATAACGATGCTTTTGTCTTTTTCTCAAATTTCTTAGGACCTCAAATTCTTGTTTGGTGAGATGAGACTGTGTTTCGTTGTGTCATTAATATGTGTGATATCTTTCAACGCACAGATTGTGATACTTCTTAGGCGATCTGTTGTAGCGCAGGTTCGACCATAGGTACTATTTCTTGAATCGATGTTGGCTTTCTAGATATATTGAAATTCAAACCTTTCTGTAGTAATGAGATTTCATCTTGAATTAAAATCTTGTCTGAAATGTTGTGTATAGTTCTAATATTCTTCATGTCATTTAGTGAGTTTTTCTTTAGTTGTTTCTTTTCTTCGGGTGTTAGGAATTTATGTGTTTGTCTTCTTTAGGTGACATTATGAAAATGTGATGTTCGCTAATTAAACAACCTTTTAAAGGAATTCAATACATTAGTTTTAAATAGTGTTTTTGATTCGTGCTCAATAAGAATTTGAGTCTTTGCATTGACTCTTAGAATATATCAGAAAATATAGATATTATTGTTATACTTATTAAATGTTTTATGATGGAAAAACTTTTAATGCTAACTGGTGGTAACGTAAAGACTACCGTTTAAACATTTTTTCACTAAATAGTAGTTTGAAGCAACTTAATCGTCAGTTAATTGAACTATGTAAAAACGTATGGTTGAAGCTGTAATGTTTTATAATTACTTAGGTAAAAACTATTCTCAGAAGAATCATAGTGCGTTATAGTTTCGTAAATTCTGCATCCAAACAACACATGAACATAGTGATTAAGACAGTTCATAATGGAGGTTGATTTTATTTAATTTACTATTTGTATTTTTACAAATATTATTTCTGAGATAGACAACATTATTATCACAAAATATTATTATTGTATTTTCACAAATATTAAAAATCTATGTGTTCCACAGCTCTAAAATCAACTGAATAGGCTTCGTTGGTCACTTGAGAAAAAACTTACAGAATCCGTGAAAAGCCTAAGATGCCCATCCAATATTGCTACTGTGAATTCAATCATTTACGGTTAATATGTCGTGTAAAAATTACTTTTTTTAATGTGATTTACTCATAACCAGACCATTGAGTGTTACAAACAGAAACGTAACAATTGAAATAGTAGCCTCATCAGACACAATTTACTTCTAAATCCTCTGTTCCCTTCCTAGTCTAAATATTTCCGTCTAGGTACAGCGGACTGTCTTTTCTAATTCACTGATCGATTACTGTTCGTTTTATTCAGCCTACATTTACTATGGCAAATACTGAAGGTGTAGATGGATAGATAGACAGACGGACGAAACGTAATATATGTCTAAGGACATTAGAAAAACGAAAACAATTATGTCTAAGGAAATAGCATTTATTTCCCTATTTACATTGGTTTGAACGAGTTTGAACACAGTTTGAACGGAATAGGACCTGTTTTCGCATTTCGCAATTATTTAACCGCTTACTATCAAACTAACATTAACCGTTTTGTAATTCAATGGTTTAATGAGACCCCAGTTTATGTTGAAAGTAACTGGTGAAAACAGATGAATGCTCTTGTATGACAGCATCTTCAGCAAATACGAATCTCTATAGTAGATGGACAGACAGGGTGATTTCTCAGCTATCATCGTTTATAACCTGGTGCAATTGGGTTTGAAATTAATTATAATTAACTGATGCCAGTGTAAGAATAAACTCAGCTTGTAATATTTCTCATTAATTTAGCAAGCTGAACTGAATGGCGGAAAATCTTCACCTCTTACATCTGTAGTTACCGAAACAAGGCATATTTATATGCTATCACTAGCAAATAAAGTCACCAACGACATGTGGCAATTTTCGTATTGTGGTATCAAAATGCATTTCAGTAGTATTGTATGTAATAATCCCAGTATTAATGATTGTAACCATTGTACTTGAGGTACTGAAGTGACATACCTGGTCAAATATTCATCTATCTATACACTATTCAGTTTTCAGACTATGCAGCGACCTGTTACTGATATCATTATAACTTTTTCACGATAACTAGTACTAGGAAGGTAAAGGAATATCTACAGTATGCTTTATAGTTGGAGAGGAAGACACTAAAACATTTCTATACATCCAGTCATTTATTATCATTAAATGTGTAATCTGTTGACTGACCGAAAAGGGAATTCAGCATAGATATTTGCAAACAAATCCAGGTAAGATTTTAATCTGATTCTCCACTTTTGCAGCAAGCAAGTGTGTGCTATCAGTCGTCAGGTTAACAGGTGACTGGG